CCGCAGCACATAGTGGAGGGCTCCCCGCGTAGCTATGTCTCAGTGAGTGGCACTGTGCTCGGTTAACCAATAAAGAATCTGGGTAATCTAATTAAAATGCCAACGGGCTGCGGCGAACAGACTATGGTGAGGGTGGCACCAAGTGTATATGCGTTCAAGTATTTGATCGCAGCTGCTGACCTGCAGGAGCCCGAAATCAAGCAACTGGCACAGACAGCAATCAACAATATCGTCAGTGTCTTCAGCAGACAACTCAACTATCGTCTCCGTGATGGATCTTTCTCAGTTTTCGGTTCAAGGCCCGGCAGTACTTGGTTAACGGCGTTTGTTTTTGGCGTATTCAGCGAGGCTGAACAATTGCTGCAGAATGAAGCTCTACAAAATTTGGAGAATGTCAACATTAATTTAGATCCCGCGTTATACACGGCTTTTGAATTTCTACAGCAAAAGCAACATGCAAACGGCTGCTTTGTGGAGTACGGTTACTTCTTTCAACCAGATTTACAGGCCTTCGACAGTTCCCCAAGGTCAAGCAGCCTTAAAGACCTCATGCTTACCTCGTATGTCCTTTCAGCCCTGCTAGAAGCTCCAGTGCGGCTAAAAGAAACCAATTCTCAGTCTTATGCTAATGTTACAGACTCGGCGAGCAGATGTCTGTTGAACACTGTCGATTCATTTAATATTTCCCAAATCCCTTCAAAAGCTCTTGTCAAGGTGGCCTACACACTCAGACGGCCTTCAGAACAGCCTGGATACTCAGAAACGCGGGAGCTTGTTTACAGGGAATTGATCAACAGGGCCTCGGAAAGGGATTCACTAAGAGGAACACTTCGCTGGTGGCAGGACAATAAACGAACCAGTCCTGCATCCAAAGTCGAGATGACGGCCTACGCGTACCTAGCTCTAACGGAGTATCAACCTGTCTCTCAACTGCGGCCCATCATTCGCTGGTTGTTGACACAACAGAATGAGCGCGGTGGATTCTATTCACCTCAGGACACTGTTATCGCCCTGCGGGCACTCGCGCATGCGGCTGCCCAGCCACATCTTTCGACTGGAGGAAAAGCTCACGCACAAGTGACGGCCAGCATTCTGCCTG